GGCGAGGGAGGAGGGGACACAGAATCCGAAACAGGCTCCAGGCTCTGAACTGTCAGTGCAGAGCCTGATGTGGAGCTCAAACCCATGAACCATGAGATCATGACCTGAGCCGAAGTCAGACATTCAACAAAACTGAGCCACCCAGGCACCCTAGGAAAGTGGATTTTAGATATCTGGAACATAATACAATTAAAATGAAGAGTCATAGTAATCAGCTTCATATATGAGGAATTAAGAATGATTTCTTGGTTTGGGATTTGAGAGGCTGGGTGTACAGTCTCAGAATTAACAGTGTAGCACATATGGAAGAAAAACAGCTTTGGAAGAATGATGAATTCAGTTTGGTACATAATGAATCTGAGTTACCAATGAGACACCAGATTGAGATATCATATAGGCGGCTAGATTTCGGAAGGCTAAGGAAAACACTGTGTGCTTTTGTTAGAGATTTCAAAGTCATTTACGCATAAAGCGTACATGATGCCCAGATGTAAGGTATATAAGATACAAAGGGGGTTGGAGATCAAGTTTCTAAACCCAAACATTTAAGAACTATTTAGAACTATCAGAAATTGGAGAACATAAAGAGGAATGTAGCAGATTCTTGAAAAGGCCGAGAAGTAGGAGAAAAGCTGGAAGTGTTCACTTTGTGCCATATGTACACTTTTGATTAGTGTGCTTTCCTGTATATATTTTAATAAAAATAAAGTTCCTTTTAAAAAAGAAAGAAAAAGAGTTTCACAAGAAGAGTTACCAAATATTGTGAAGAGGTTAAATAAGATAGAAGCAGAAGGGGGAAAAGTCCACTGAATTTATCAAGTAAGAAAGAAGTTAGCAAAAGACTACCATAGATAAAGGATCTGAAGGGTAAAGATGGCCTTTCCTTTCATTCTGTATCATTATTTTGAATTTTCTAATCTCATGCATAGTGTTCTACTTTGAATTCTTACCCAGCAGAATAAAGTAATTTTCAAACATCTGAATATTCAAAGTTTACCTCAAAAGCAGCATTTCAGAAGTTACTTTCTTAAGATATACTAACCAAACCAAATGAGTAAATCAAAAAGATGACAACAGGTCCAGAAAATAGATCCAACCCTGGAAAGGAGTAAAGTTAAGTCACATGATGACAGGCAGCCAGGCAGCAGGCCTGAAGCACACTCAGCCCAGCAAGGGGACTCTGGAAGGAAGACTTCAGAAAACAGTGGTATTAGGCTGCTTACCATGAAGGAGTTAAAAACAAACAATACAAAACAACACAACACAACACATCCACAGAGGATATAATAAAGGAAAAAAACAGTGAAAACAAAAACAAAAACAAAGGTAATTCCAATGGAGAAAACTTGATAAGAAAGGGAATGAAAGTACTGTATGTTCCTGGCTCTACAACAAATAATCCTCAATATAACACTGTTACTGCTTTGCAAATTTGGAATCACCTACAAAGCACTAAAGTGCTCATTAAGGTTACTAGACTCTCTGTAAATGTTCATCCTGATATAAAAATACACATGCTTAACACTAAGAGGTGAAAGCAAGAGGTAGCTAAAGAGAATCTTGGAAAAGGTACATTAATCCTAGAAAGTGAGAAATCAACAAATATTGCCTACGGTTTCTGGAACAAGAACTAGTTATAATATACTACCTTAAGGTACAAAGACATCCAGCGCAGTAAAATGAATAAATATGAAAGAAGAGGAAAGGAAACAGTGGTATAGGTGAACTAGGCATTGAACTACAAGACGTTAACAGTCAAAACTAACTTTCTCTGGGAGAAAAGGACTGAAGTCAAAAGGATAAAACTTCTCATTGTAACTGTTTTTGCATTTTAAGCTCTTCTTTGTTATCTCTGATTTTTAAACCAATGTATATGAAATATCTGGGGAAAAATTTAAGAGAATATTTAGGAAATAAGGAAATCAAAGTAGCATGGCTATTCTTAAGAGTGAGGAGCAGGGGCGCCTGGGTGGCTTAGTCGGTTAAGCGTCCGACTTTCGCTTAGGTCATGAGCTCGCGGTTCGTGGGTTCGAGCCCCGCGTCGGGCTCTGTGCTGACTGCCAGCTCAGAGCCTGGAGCCTGTTTCAGAGTCTGTATCTCCCTCTCTCTCTCTCTGACCCTCCCCTGCTCACGCTGTCTCTCTCTCTCCTAGAGATAAATAAAACATTAAAAAAAAAAAAAAAAAGAGTGAGGAACAGAAAAGAGTAGCTGCTGATGGTCAAATATCAAAGGAGAACAAAAAGTAATAATGATAATAAGCGAAATCATAATTCTGAAGCTACCAGAGGGGGCAAACAGTGATAATACCAAAGAAAGAAAAGGAAAACAAAGGAGCAAGGTGTTCGCCCCAGGCTGTAGGATGGACAAGGACAGGATCAGAGGTACAAGTATACAGTATAAAAAATCTAAAAATACCAGGGAATATGATCAGAGATGGGTACCATTAACAGTTTACACCTTCAGAGACAGACTAGTTTGAGATACTAACAAGGTTTAATTCGCATGAGATCATGAGAATGGAGTACTGCTGTAAAGTGTAGATGACACTACAGAGTCAAATGTACTAAGAAACCTTAATCTGTCTTTAGGTGAGTTCTTCACCTGGATAAGAACATAACTTCATGAAAATGTCAGAAAAAAGAGTTTAGAGGAAAAACCAAGTTAGACGCCAAAAATTCTCAACTAATAATATAGGAATAGGCAAGAAAAGAACAGCAGAGGACAACAGGAGGGACTGAGGATGTAAGCTGTATCATATTAATCTTTTTTTTTTTTTTTACAAATAGTTTATTGTCAAATTAGTTTCCATGTATCATATTAATCTTAAAAGCATAGGATTTTTGGTTTTGTATCAGGATAATAAAACACTATGGAAGTAGCAATGTAAATACTAGGGTGGATGTGAAGTAATACCTTTAGGAAAGGCAACATTCAATGAAGGTAAAGAACAGAAGGAAACAAGCTATAGAAAACCCAACTTACAAGGGACAGCGAAATTTGGAAGGAGCCTATAAAAAGCAGTGGAAGGCAGTCAGCTAAAAAACTAGAATTAGTAAAACAAAAATATGTAAGAAAATATCTTCTGGCAGTATGACAATTTTGAATATAATCAAGTCTATAAAATACCAATTTATAGGAAATGCAGAGAACAGAGGGCCACATTAAATTACACCATGAAAAGGTGATCCGCAAAATCTAGATTGTGGGAAACTATAAACAACATAGTTAAAAAAGAAAAAAGAGAAGAGATGCAGGAAAAATACAGATTGAAACTATACAGTCACAATGTGTGGACCTTATCTGGATCCTAGTTTTTAGAAAATACGCAACACCATTTTAAAAAGCCATTTAGGATATATCAGACAATCAGAACTTTGATTGCTTGCTGAATATGTAAAGATATTAAGAAATTATAATTTTTTATTTTTAAAGCTTTTTTATTTTTATTTTTGAGAGAGAGAGAGAGAGAGAGCAGGGCATTGGCTGAGAGGGAGACAGAGGATCCAAAGTGGCTCTGTACTGTCAGCACAGAGCCCAATGCAGGACTCGAGCTTACGAACTATGAGATCACAACCTGAGTCAAAGTCAGATTGCTTAACTGACAGAGGCACCCATATGCTCCCAGGAATTGCAATTTTTTTAATTTAAAAAAGTGTCCTTATATTTTAGAGGTTAATGCTGAAATATTAATGGAAGAAATTATGTGGTTATCTATAATGTGCTTTAAAATAACACAGTAATGGAGAAAGTAGATGGCATAGAAATGGCTACAGGTAGTAAGAGCTACTGAAGCTGAGTGATTAGTATGTAAGAGTTCATCACCATTATGTCTACTTTTGTATGTTTAAAATTCTCCCTAAGAAAATGGGAGAATCCTTTTTTAAAGGATGTTTGTTATATTTCATCTAGCATTTCCTAAATACAGTGTTTTCAGGTTATTAAATCAGAAAGTTTCAGGAAATGAAATCCCAGATTTTGTTTTATATTTTACAATTCATCTCTGATGTGCACTTAAAAGCAAAGGTTGTTCATAAAATTTACTACAGATTGTTTTAAAGATTCTAATCTCTAAATATAGTACAAGTGGTATTAGGTACTGGCAGGTTTCTAAAAATGAACTTAAAAAAGAAACATGTAAAACTGAAATTTTAGCTGAGAGTAAGATAACAGGGCATTTGACTCCTCCTTGCCTGTTTTATAGGAGAAGTATACTAAATAACTTTGGGCTTTTTCATAAAAGTGAATATTTAAGTATTTATGTCAAAAAATTTTAAGTTAGCCATTAAAAGAAAAGATTTATAAGATCCTTAAATCTATAAGGCAGAAAAGCTTCAAGAAGAAAGTAAAGAAAATTAAAAGCGAAGTAAAATAGCAAAAAATGTTTAAGTCCAAATGTCAACAAGTACAATATATGAAAACAAGACAAACCCACTTTCTAGAAGACAAAGAACATCAAACTGGATTTTCTTTTTTTAATTAAGGTATACAGTGCTTAGAAGAGATACAAAACCATACAAAAAAGGTAACCAAAAAAAAAAGGACATTTTTGTCAAAGTGACAGGTGCCAAATGGTACTAATCCTTATTGATCATAAGCCAAACTACAAACTAAAAGAGAACTACAAAATAGACATAAATAAAAAGAAACCCTAATGAAAACAGGAACAAAAGACATGAATATGTCAATAAACATAGAAGAAGATGGTAGATCTCACTTGTAATTAAGTAAATGCAAATTAAGGTAGGATATCACATTATACCCATCAGGTTGCCAAATTAAGGAGTCCGAATATACCAAGTATGAAGGAGAGGATGAAGAGCAGAAGAACCCTTTAAACAACTGGTTTTAGTGAGCAATTAGGCTACATTTAATTAATCTGAAGATATAACTATTCTACAAACCAGAAATTTCATTTCTAGTTATAACCCTAGAAAAATGAATGTGATACTGCATAATGGTTATAGTAGCATTATTTGTAAGAACCAAAAAATACAAATAGAGCTTTGGTTTGACAGCATATACTAAAATTAGAACAATACAGAGAAAATTAGCATGGCCCCTGTGCAAGCATGACACACAAATTTGGGAAGTGCTCCATATTTGGGGGGAAAAAAGAGAGAGAGACAAACCAAGAAACAGACCCTTAACTATAGAGAACACACTGATTATTCACAGAACGGGGGGGGAGGGGAGGTGAAATAGGTGAAGGGGATTAAGAATGTACTTATCATGGGAGGAGGGGCAAGATGGCAGAGAAGTAGGGAGCTCCGTACCTGCACTCGCGCCCAGGCATCACACGGAAAAGATCTGAAGCCATAGGAAACCATACCAAACCCAAGAGATTGGGAGAGAAAGAAACAAGCCAGAATACACAAGGTGGAGAGTCCCAAATATCACTACAAATAGGAAAATAAAATAACCAAGGTCCCAACAAGAGAGACCAAGAGATACCATTCAAAAAACACTCTCTGAAAGGATAGGCCCTGGACAGTCAAAGAGTCTTCTTGAATACAGCAGTGCTCATAGATACAGAGAGCATAACAGGTGTTTAAAATCAACAAGAGCCAGATAGCTAACTAAAATGACAAAACGAAAGAGCGCTCCTCCAAAGAAACTCCAAGAAGAAATGACAGCTAATGAACTGCTCAAAACAGATATCAGCAGCATAACTGAACAAGATTTTAGAATAATAATGGTAAAATTAATAGCTGGGCTTGAAAAAAAACATAGGGGACATCAAAGAAACTATGGCTACAGACAGAATGGAAAATAAAAACAGGCATGAATAATTTAAAAATGCGATAGATGAGATACATAATAAATTAGAGGTCTCCAGTGCACGGATGGAAGAGGCAGAAAGGAGAATAAGTGATTTAGAAGACACCATTATAGAAAAACAAGAAGCTGACAAAAAAAGAGACAAACTGATCCAGGAACATGAAAGAAGA